GTAAACTTCAAATGGAATTGAACGCTCTTTTAAGTATTTGACGAGTATCCTATGATCCGGAGTATTTCGAAAATTATGAAAGTCTTAAAAGCGTCGGTTGATGGTCTTGAAACATCGGGGCAAGGAAACTTCCCGAATATTAAACTCTCCTCAAAGCGATAAAAGATTTAAAACGATTTATTCGACGAAATATTCGAGAACAGGGGGGGGGGGAGAGAGAGAGAGAGAGAGCGAGAGAGCGAGAGAGAGAGAGAGAGAGAGAGCGAGAGAGCGAGAGAGAGAGAGAGAGAGAGAGCGAGAGAGCGAGAGAGAGAGAGAGAGAGAGAGCGAGAGAGCGAGAGAGAGAGAGAGAGAGAGAGCGAGAGAGCGAGAGAGAGAGAGAGAGAGAGAGCGAGAGAGCGAGAGAGAGAGAGAGAGAGAGAGCGAGAGAGCGAGAGAGAGAGAGAGAGAGAGAGCGAGAGAGCGAGAGAGAGAGAGAGAGAGAGAGCGAGAGAGCGAGAGAGAGAGAGAGAGAGAGAGCGAGAGAGCGAGAGAGAGAGAGAGAGAGAGAGCGAGAGAGCGAGAGAGAGAGAGAGAGAGAGAGCGAGAGAGCGAGAGAGAGAGAGAGAGAGAGAGAGAGAGAGAGAGAGAACCGTAACTAATACAACTAACGAGTCCTTCTGGAATCTTCGCTTATAATTAATTGCATCTATTCTCGCGAACGATCGTCCAAATTGTCCATCTATTAAAACGACGATCCAAATGTTTTCTCGTTTAAAAATTCGCTTCGAACACACGATGCTGAAAAATTCTCGAAAAAAAATCTTGTTTATCTTATCTCGTTTGAGTAGATGTCTACCTTGCCTAATGTTGTAAAATTCACAAACGTATACACCTTACAACTTGTTACATACAAGGTTGTCTGTGGTGTAACAAACACAGTGTCATGATTTTGATAGCTAGAGTAAAGGGAGTATCCATCACCAAACGACATACATATATGCGTACAACGTTATCGTGGCTTAATCGTTTCACGATCAGAAACATTTCCTGTATTACACACACGGTTTATCTCACACGGTTATGTACACGAGTTAACGAGTTATCAAGATTTACATCACGCGGTATGAAAACTTACTATTCGCGCGACGTGTTCCGCCTCGGCCGTATCAATGCCCTCGTAGTGGGGCCACATCAGCCTCTGCACAGTTTCGATTAAATCGTTCGACGAGATTTCACCGTCGCCGTTCAAATCTGGAAAATGAAGATTGTTAACAGTGTCGATACAGAGGTTATCCACACGCGTATTATCAAAACCTCGAATCTTCTAAAATTGAAAATCACATTTGTCCCACGAGTGCGAATAAAATAAGAATAAATTAGAATCGGAATGGAAATGGAATAATCTATTTTGTTCTTTTGATGAAAAATCGAAAGTGCACCGAGAGTATTTTTCACTTTGACAATACGATAGTTTTATCGTATTTATCATCAGAATATTCATCTCATCTTTATCTTATTATTATAATTACGTTACCTGTCATCCATATTGTGCAAAAAGAATCAATTTCGTCAATGTTTTTTCCATTTTTTTTCTATGCTTTTTTAACTCTAGATCGAATACGCTTCCTTCTCTGCCGCGCGTGTAACCATCCTTCACTCTCCCCCTCCCTTCCTATTGTTTCTCCGCTTTCACGATCATTCGTGCGGCGTATATTCGTATATATTCGTGAAATTAAACTTAAATCGATAAGAGATTCTCTCAAACGGTTTAAACGGTTCGCCCGTTGATTAAAACGGTTCGTCGAATTATTTCTGTAATTTCGTTCGTGTAATTTTTTTTATTCAACGATATTACTACTATTTTTATATATGAAATTATAACACGGAAACGAAGAAGAGAGAAATTTTTATCACTGTGATAAATAAATTGAACGTTTTATCGTATCTTTGGCTTCTGAATCGAGATGGACGAAAATTTAAGAAGCGTGGAATTATTTCGTATTATTTCGTATATCGTAAAAATTGGTCACGTGATCCTCGCGTTTATTGTTCCTTCGAAACGCGAACACAAGATGTCTCACGTAACTGGAGGATATAATTCCAATAGTAGATGAAAAAAAAAAAGAAATTATTCACAACGAAACTGATAAATGCACTTTCGAACAAATGCACTCGGTGTATCAAATTTTTGCATTGATCTTTCAACTTCTTCGATTAATTCGTCAAAAAAAAAAAATTGAAATGAATAACATTACCAAACACGTAAAACGCCCAAGTGGCGCGAACATTGTCGGGGCAATATTCAGAGAAGGCCGAGCACAAGTCTAGAACATCTTCCAAGCTCAATCGTTCGTCTTTCTTCGAAGAGAATACTCGGTATATGGAGTCACGAAATGGACTACACTGAAACGAATTCAAACGATAAATAATTATTCGATGAAACGAAGATTACGAATTTTCGTTTATTTTTTTTTCTTCTTTTTTTGCTTTATTTTTCTTATTAATAAGAAACCTTCTTATCTGCGTGAAATATATTGTTAAGAATTTTTGATATACATTGATTCGATACCTTATCAGAAAGTATATAAAGATAAAGAAAATGTTTACAAATAATCGCCATCGATGATTGACGTGTTAGATTTTTCAATGTATTAAGAATGTTAGAATTATTATATTATACTAATTATATATAATTAATAATATAATATTATATATATAATATATATTATATTATATATACAATATAATTTTATATATATATAACTAATAATATA